GTAAATTATCTAACTTACTCGACGATAACTTGATTTCCTGCTGCTCACAAATATGGGTGCGAGATGTGAAGCTGTTTGGACTACTACCAGTTGTCGCCTGAGAGAATATTGTAGCAATGACGAATATACCGCTATTTAACCTTCTAATAAATAAATCTAAAAATATATGGTACCAAAACATGTTTTGACTGTGTGTTTTTTTTTTATATTGTGGCTAATTAAGATATTTTTAAACCATAGAATCATTGATAAATAGAGGGTAACAAATAAATCAGTAATGACTGAACTATATAGAAAGCAGAACTTTGAAATATTGTGGGAAGATCGAACTTAAATCAAAGAAACACAAATATATATAGTGATAACAATGGATTATTATATAAACGTGTTTTTGACAAATCAACGATCAATCAAACAATTTCGTTTAGTAAGGATTTACCTGGAAGAGGACGTCGCGTGATAAATGCATCAGATCTTGCACAAGCGTGCCCAGTCGTAGAATGAACACGTTTTTAGGAAGTATGTGCTCACCTTTTAGATGCTTCTATTTTTTTTTTTTAAAAGCGCCTAGAATTGAATATTTTTTTAGAATTTTTTGCTCTGACATTTTTCCAGCAGTCCTTAAATCGATACATCTGGCCTTGTTGTCACAATCCAAAATAAATAACATCGTAAGTTAATTGTTCTTATTTTTCATTTCCTTCTATTTTGTTTTCAGATCCCTCTGTATCAGTAGTATGTTGTTTTGCTGAATATCAGTACATACCTTGCGAAGCTATGTTTGAAAAGATCTGCTTTCTTTTCTGGAATCTTTCAGGAGCAGTTCTCTTGTCTTGAAGTGTAATTCCTCTAACCATGCACCGGTTTTATTGAATGAAAAAATCAGCAAAGTATACAATTCAGTACGCCAAAACAAACTCTGGTAACTTGTTTTGTAGAAGTGTAATCTTGGACAGGATGGCCATCGCTTCATTTCTACCATCCTATTTACCACTGACACAAGAACTAATATTTTAGGGATTTTCACAACAGGTTGAAAAACTGCAAAAAAAACTCAAGCAAGAGGAAAAGTGACAGCAATGGCATCAATAACTATGTAAATATGGCTTCTTTTCTGTTCTTAGGTTTGTCTCATAACATAACTGTGTTTCCTGGATTCATCAGAGTATAAAGTATAAAGTATAACAAACGGAAAGTTTGACACGTTGTAAGAACTATTTGTGGAATTCTGTATTGCTGGTTTATACCAGTTTATCAAGCTCACAACATTCGAAAGTTTGATTATCTTCCAATAATGTGAAGTCTTGCATTTCGATTTTTTATTAATACTTCAAAAGAATTTAAATTGTTTAAATTTGTATACTACCTTTCATTATTCAATTGCTGTACCTTGATGAGAAGTATTTTTTCCTTTTGGCTTTTTCATGGTTACATCCTTTGTATTTGTCTTTTTATTCTAGTTGAGTTGAGTTTTTTCACTTGTTTTTGTTACACTAAACCTGTGATCAGTATATTTGATATAGTTTAAATTATATTATATGTATATTGTGCTGTATCCATGTACTTTATTATTATTAATTTATAATAAGTCATCCAATAATGTTTTTTTGAAGTTTTATAAATGTGTTCAAAATCATTGTCTACAAAAGAGCAACATAAATCAATAAATGTTGATTTTTTAATAAAAATTGCTTGAAATTCGATCATTTTCTATTTATATGAACTATATGAAGATCTGGGCAATAAATTACCTAAATTAACCACCATTATTAAAAATGTTTGCGAAAAACAAAACAAATACATGTAGTTTATTCACTACACATATTGACACTAAATGACAATGAGTAGTGATGATTAGAAGTTCATGATCAAACAGTTAAGGAGCGTTTGTCGTCGCACTGCGCTTGTTTCCAATTTCATGTTAACAGTGTATTTTACACGGTTGTGTGCGCCACTATAAGTCACATGTAGAACAGAACGCGGCGCGACAACCACCATCCTATAAAGAATTGAAACGTTTAGTCTCTGTACATAATATAACAGGATGGGAGAACGTTCCCTTACACGGAGATTATCTGAACAGGTCTAGGTGCAGCCCCGGTGAAGGAGTGGAACGGAGAACCAATATCGTTTGCATACTGAGAAACAGAACATAGCTATCTTGTCATGACAAATTCAATCGGAATGATGCAACATCCATCACGTTGGCATAGAGGTATGTATAACAGGAGAAAAAGTGTCACACAAATACCTTGATGAAATAAATAGTGGTACTAAACATATATATACGATGTCTACAAGCTGAAGTTTGTAATGTCACTATGCTAGCCATGTACATACAGTTGCATTGTTCAGATCAGTGACTATCACAAGTATTTTTATAGAACTTAACTAATCCACGTTATATTGTTGAGCAAAGAATTTTACAGTTGTTCACAAATTATATGTCCTCAATTTAGCAAACACCCAAAAACCTCAACGGGAAAGTAGCCAACATCTGCGCAAGTGCAAAAACTGATATGATGACATCTGCAGATAACGAAGTTACAATTTTGACTGCCAAATCCTGATCTGATTCGATGATAGGGCTATGAGGTATAATAATATAAATGATTTGAATGGTGCAAAAATAATCACAACTTGAAGTTAGATTTGGGTACCATCAACTAGAGCAACCACTAGAAACTAAACATACTATAATTTCTGAACACATGTTGGTCTCAATAAACACTTGAATTTCGGAGTACCCTAAGCAGCTGAAACACATTTGAGCAAGCATTGCAGGGATTAAATAACATGAATAACAAAAGTGATGTCTAAACATGCTATGATACTTAATGTTCTCGTATATAACGGTGGATACAGATCACTGGACGTCATAGATGACCCAAGGTTACGAACTGAGAAATGGAGTCCACACTTAACTACACTGTTATCAAGAAACCAAGTCAAGATTACGCTGCTTAATTCATTCCCGACAGCTGTACAAAGCAAATATAGCTGAGAACTGCATATACTTCTTTTTAAAAAATGTATTGACCCTATCGGAAGTAATAAAATCTACAGAGGCTGACCAAACTGAATAACATGTGGCACAAAATATCGGAAATAGGGGCTAGGAAAAGGAACCATTATAACACTGAGGCATTGTGAAAACTGAACAACTACTGTATTTAAACAAACCAGCAAAATACTTGAACTACTACAAATGCTTGATTCGCCATGGTTGATAGATAACAAACATGTCGACACAAATTTTATCTTGGGAGACTTTTCGTGATGGATAAATATACTGGATACCCGGAAGTAGAAATAACCAAAGCAGCATCTGTTTGTGCAGTGATATGTGTAGCACTAGGTGTACCAAAGCGAATCAAGGTTGACAATGACCTCCTTGCATAGGCCATGAGTTTCTACACTTTCAATAACATATGGGTTTCAAAGAAAGGATATATCTCCTACTCTGTGAATACAAAAGTTATTTTAATTTACATACCTAGCTGAATAGTACACACATCATTTGCAGAATAGTTACTTAATATCTGTGTAAGAAAAGATATTCTATCATCGTCCTAGTAATATTAGTTGTATTAATGCTTTTGTAAAAGTGAAGTACTTTTATATTATAGACAATTACAAGACATTGAACAGTATTTTGTGTACGTGTTATTTCAACCAAGACATTACTGCAATTGGGTAATAGCTGAATACTGCATACAATGACAAATTAGATCCAACATTTATATCTGTAAATGGACTGCCTGTGTAACGTTTGTTATTTGTTTTAATAATAATAATGAATGGAATGTCCTGCATTAAGTGATTTACAGCCTGGCCACGAGAGGGTGCACATCATATTGTCCAGTCTTGTTATTCATAAATATTACACACAACACATTATGTTATAAGTTATGTGCAATTAGTAAGCAATTCTCATAATAGTAATCGAGGGCTTCCCCCACAAGATAGCTGCCAACATTTGATACAAAAAGAATACACTTCGTACTAGCTTAATATTTGTTTTGCAGAAAGTTCATATAACGTATGGGAGCTGAAATGTTGTCATCGTCAACAAGCACTCCTAATCGTTTCTTCTCAGAGTTTCAGTTCAAGGTTTTTTTGGAAATATTCTAGATATGTCTCCTCAACACATTATTACCATACATGACATGACCTGTCAATGTGAACCTCTATATTTACATTCGTGATTAGGGGGATATTCTTAAATACTAAGGCATATATATATATATATATATATATATATATATATATATATATATATATATATATA